TACGCAGATTTTAGTATGATCTTTTATTAGCCTTACGACATCACTGGGAGGTGGACAGTGGGACAGATGTTATCCTCATTTTAGGCATGGGTATCTAAACATCTTTCGTAGTGACACAGCTAGAGATCACATTTATAACCTAGTCTCTTGTCTGTCCAGAGAGAAAGAAATTATGGCCTAATCAGTCTCTTTGTGGGGAGACAAAAAGTAGCCTTATATGAACAATCTCAAGTAAAGCCTACAGACTCCATAGGAAATGCTGGGAGGGCAAAGTTGGGATCTAATCCCACAGTTCTCTAGGGAACAGGAGTTATAGCTTCAATTTACTTCTGTTACCATGGGGATTCCTAATGGAACAGTAAATACAGACCATCCTGTATCTGGGAATGGAGACATAGAAGAATTTCACATTCCAGAGTGATCCGGAATGTCCTCTTCTACAGTGATGAGCATTCCCTTCTTTTCTTATCTGTTTAAGGATTTCTCAGCACTCCCATGCTTCCCCATCAGCGGGGTCGCGTGCGCGCACGCGCGCGCGCGCGCGCGCACACACACACACACACACACACACACACACACACACACACACGGGATCACTTCTGTTATTTCTCTTTCCCCTTAAGATTAGTCTCTGAGGAAAGACATTCTCCGAGGGTAACTCTTCATTCACAGTTGGACAGGTTGTAACAAAACTTCCCTTTCACTCTGCTTGAAAGAGTTGGGGAAGGTATCACAGAATGGTAACATTTTATCTTGGATTTGAAGGAGGAGTACAGACGCTAACCAGCCTATGTCTCAGTATTTTCAAGTCTTCCCCTCCTTCTGCCAGTCTAATGTATCTTCATGTTATTATAACTACAGAAAACAGTTTTCTTTTTCTGTAACAGCTCTGTGAGGTAGACAGTAGGATAGATATTATCCCTGGGGCATCCATTTTACCAGAAGGAATAGGATAATTATTAGGATATTCAACAAGAAAAATGTTAATTTGGAATTCTGTTAAAAAAAAAAAATCTGCTCCAGCTTATATACACCTAACTTCTCTCTGGAGCTTATTGCTGCTCCTGTTTTATTTCATACTCCCAATTCTGGAAGCCTCTCTTCCTGCTTTTCTTTAGGACCATTATATGGCATCTTTCAAGGTTCCTTTTTTAGACTCTCTAATATTGAAATTGCAACATCTGAATTTTTAAAATGTATCAGACTTTATTAGTGAAGAACAGATAGCATTCCCTCATGTTATCCTACTAAGTACTAATTGCAATCTCCTATCTTGCTCTCCAGCCCGTTCCTCAATTAGATTTGGGGATATTGAAGTAGTTTTCTGGGACATCTCAAAAATGATCAGGAGGCACAGATGCCATTTCCAGCAGATCCACCCCTTGGCTTTTAGTTGTGGGCTTAGTTTCAGGGATAAAACTTTCCCTTCCAAGAGCTCCTGCCGGTACAGAGTCTAAGGACCTGCTATAAAACTTGCCTGACACACATCTTTATGTTATTTCATTAACTTAATGGAATAGACATCATTCATGACAATCTTTCTCCTTATCTATATTATAAAAATACTAAGTTTCTTATAGTACCATTATGCCAGGATCTTCATGTGTCTGAGACCGGAATTTAAATCTTTGTATCATTAATGTCTAACACAGTGACTGAGGAATAGCAAGCATCCAACAAATATTGATTGAATGAAGAAAATAAATACATGAGTTAATGCACACATGCATGTATGCATACATGAATGAATGAATAAAAACATAATTCCTCTGGTATTTTCTTCTCTAACTTTCATATCTTCATTGCCCCCTCACTGGCTGCTTCTATTCACATCGTCCCCATCTTAAATCAGCCTGCTTCTCTTCCTTAAATCAATGACATATCTTTTCTTCCAGTCATCCACAAACTTTTAAAAAGTGTAGTCTAACTTCCTGCCTCCACTTACTTACTTCCTGTTTACTTTTTTTTTTTTAAAGATTTTATTTATTTATTTGAGAGAGTGAGAATGAGAGCGAGCACATGAGAGGGGGGAGGGTCAGAGGGAGAAGCAGACTCCCCGCCGAGTAGGGAGCCCGATGCGGGACTCGATCCTGGGACTCCAGGATCATGACCTGAGCCGAAGGCAGTTGCTTAACCAACTGAGCCACCCAGGCGCCCTTTCCTGTTTACTTTTTAATCACTCCTGTTACTGTCTGCTCCACACCACTGAAATGGCAATCCTGAGAATACTCAAAGTATCTTAATCACTAAGTTCCCTGACCTCTATTGAATCACTTTCAAACAAAATCTGTGCTTTTATGACCTTGTTGAACACTCAGTCATTATTAAAATTCTACTGGAGTGGCTCCTAAGATACTATTTTTTCCTAGTTCTCAAACATTTGATTTTCTTTTGTTTTTGTTCACTGATCTTATTTCTTTGGTCCTTAAAGAAAAATAGCATTTGGCCTTGAATTTTTCCTTCCATTTCATGCACTGTCCCTGGATCATATCCTTGGCATGTTATTCTTAATTCTCAGGGTCTATAGGTCTATACAAATTTATGCAGACCCTTCTCATAGGAGTGAGAAATTGTATAAAAATCCCTACTGTCCCTGTTCTTCAAAAAATTTAAGCAGGTGTTTAAAATATTGTGCAACAGCTGAAAAAGCCCATGTCCTTAAAGTTCGTTAATTTTTTCCCCCCTGGAGGATGGCTACCTATTCTTTAACTCTCTAAGCTTTAATTAATTATAAGAATATAATCTATCTGTTACTAATTGTTGTACCATAGTTCTCTCAGGAAGTAAGAGAAAACCCAAATTATCAGGGCATCTTCTTTTTAAGGACAGAGGTTGCAGATGTAACCAACTTCTGGGAGGTATAAAATGTTCCTTTTCTCTCTAGTAACACCCTTACCAGAAAATGCTGCACTCTCCATCCCATGTACACACACTGACTGAATCAGGTACATACTAGGCCACCGGGAAACTCAGATTGCATGCAGTACCCAAAGTACTAATTCATTTGGATTATTAGTGCAAATACTTAGGTGTATCTACTGCTGAGGGGATCAAAATTTGTATAAAATGAAAGAGAAGCTTACTGAACAGTAGGTCCTTCTATATGCATAGTTTTTAATATGGGCAATGTAAGTGTTTCAGGATTTGGATGGGCATTTCTGTATACTAGCAATCAAATGGAGCTAAGAAAAAGTTGCTTTCATTAGACGTGGCGTCCACGTTCTAATTTGCCTCAGACCCCAGCACTCTCTGATGTCCCCAAAGTTGCCTGAGTGTCAGTTGCCATTTATTATTGTAGTTACTTTTTGTTTTTCTTAGAGTATGGTTTAAAAATACCACCATGAAAAACAGAAAGGATTATATATCAGGATATATTTGGGGGGAGAAAACAACTGAAAATTACTTATTTAATATGTGAACAGAATCCATCTCCACTGAGATTATGGTCGAGGTCTTTTATTTTACATATAGTCGGCTTCACTCATTAATGTTACCACTTCTGGCCCGGATTGGCTTTTGATTTACCATCTACCATCCCTTCTTGGTGTCCTCTTCACCTCTTTATCCTCAGCATCCTGAAAAGGATGCTGAACTGAATGTGTTTTGGGGGCTGCCATATTCCTATTTTATTTCCATGTTTAATTACCAATGATTTACACTTGTTTGTAAAATATTAACAATAAAAACAAACTGATAAAGTGAAATTATATACATAGTGACTGAGGATTGACCTAGCAAAGTCAGTTACAAGGACCCAAAGGGATCATCTGCCTCAGCCTACTGACTTCGTGCAGGTTTAGTGATGAACAGCAATAGTAACAACAGCAGAATCTCTGTTGTTCTCTTTACAAATTGCTTTCATATGCATTCTATGCAATTACATGAGGTCCAGAAATGCAGATGTTGCATTTTTTCCTCCATCATAAAATAGTACAAAATGAAGACCTACCGGGAGGCTGGGGATGGTGGAGCTGGGCTGCTGATCCCACCTGTAACAGCACTTTCTGCCTGACAGAACGTCAGACTACAGTTCAGAGCCTTGGAGGCCTAATGTCGGGGTGGAAGATGCGGGACGTTGCCTCATGTGGGCAGTAGCCATGTCTACTTTGTTTTCAGTTTTCTCAGAATCAGTACTGTGAAGTCACTGCTTCACTTCGTATTTTTTATTACGTGAGCCTGGAGAGGGAAGGTTTTTGAAAATCCGTAAGTTTTACAGTATCGGAATTTCCAAACTGTAAAACATCTGAAAATGTTCTTGTGTCCAGAAAACAATTGTTCCTTTACCTGTATCAAGACAGACAGATAAAGATAAAGCCCTTGCCATGTGTATAACACCTGTTCGATACTATGGAGGCAAGCAAGAAATGTAAGAGCAAATTAGTTGGAAAGAAGGGTATATCCTATCTTACATTTTATATTCTCAAGTATCTCCATGTGTTCATCAGATGAGAAATCACATAGATTGGGATGGTCACGAAAAGGAAGAATACAAGAGGGCGTAGTGAGAGGGAATTCCCTGATGCAGATTGATTGTGAAGATAAAAGATTGTTCCTGGAATGTTGACTTGGAGCATTTCGTCACACAGAGATGGGCAGAGGTGGCAGTTGGGACCTTGGAACTTCAAAAAAAAAAAAAAATTATCTGCCTATGGTAGAAGGATATTTGTCCTAAAAAGTAATTCAGTGATGCATTTGTGGTTCCTTTTTGCAGATGTTATGCTTCTTATTGAAACAGTGATTGCTGCTAATATCTATTTGAATGAGAGCTATATATGCCTTTTGTGCCCTTTCTAGAAACTACAGTCATCCCTCGATGATGCTGCCGTGTCATGGTCAGCTACTTCAGCCTCAATTAGACATGATCTGTCCAGTAGATTTAGGGGTTATATTTCAATGTGGGATTTGACTTGCAATTATCCATCACACTAGAAAATTATTCTAATCAATCTATCTTTATTACCACTTTGATTGTAATTCTAACTGCTCTGTTTTTATATAAGGTTGCCATTACCCCCTGGGGCTTTTTCAGGACTCTGGAAGAATCAGGAAGCATTCAAGCATTTATACTTTGAAAAATTTCCTGTAAGAACTTTATTATACTTTCTTTAAACCTTCCAAAGTACTTCTTTATAGTTCTTGCCTATTAAATTGAGCACTCAGTCCTGGAATCATAGATAACAATACAACTTTTAAAGTTTATCTGGACTAAGTTCTAGATCTCAGAAATAAGAATGCCCACACCACAATGATCGAAATAAGTCATTTTTATATTTATTTTTCAGTCTCTGGACATAGACATTTCTGTTTCTCTTAGCACATTTTCCTGAATTTTAGCAGCCCTCAATATCAGGAAAGTTTTTATTAAATTAAAAACTTTTGGGGGGGCTATCTCTGTTCTTTCCTGCATGGATCCCTCTGCAGACTGAGAGCACCTGATCAGAATTGTACCCTGTCACTGGGACCCCTTAATCTCCTCTACAGCTGGCTATGTGAGCAAAGTTCATTTGGATTGCCCACAGTTGTATTTTTCCATTCCCTTACCTATTTTTGACATTTGTTCCTGAATGTTCTCTTGGCTTTTTTTTTTTTTAAAGATTTTATTTATTTATTTGACAGAGAGAGACACAGTGAGAGCAGGATCACAAGCAGGGGGAGAGGGAGAGGGAGAAGCA